AAAATATCTACTTTCTGCTTTTTGTAGCCTAAAAAAGTACTTAAATAATTTTATGTATGTGAACCACAATAGGCAAAAATTCTACAATGTGAATAAGACACAGTTTCAAGGCATTACTAAAGCTACTCCCAGTTAGTTCTACCTCTTGCACAAACTTAAGCTCAGGCTCCACAATCACCTTCCACTCCCAGAATTCTAAAGGGATTGAAATTAACCCAATTCTTGATTACTTCCTTGTTCTCCTGGTGTCATAAATAGTAATGTATGCACAGTTACAAAAAGGCAGTACTGACTGTCTACACAATGGCCCAGGCCTACTCTTTTTCTTTTCTTCGCTGAAGTTTCTTTCTATCTTTTCTCAGACCAAAAGGATAAATGTCTGTGTTATCACAAGCCTTTCTGAAAATGTTAATATTTTTATATGTTTAAACAGTTTTTAATAGTAGATGTGCATGTAGACTATTTCCTAAACCATAAGGGGGCACTATTCCCAAAGTCATTCTAGATGTCATTTAAATATCCTCTTAATTCTTGTAACAAACCGTTTCCTACTTCTTGAATACTTCATTTTAATAAATAAATCAAAATCCAACTAGTATAATCATTGTGTATCAGTAACTAAGGGAGATACATTTTAACCCAACACTAAGTTACCTTATTTGTCTTAGAACTATCTTGACATAATTCTGAGTCAAGAGGATGTTTGGGGAAAGGAGAAATCCCCAAATACACATTAGTATTTCAATAGTTTGAAACACCATCTGATATTTCTAGACTCTTTCAAAATCCACCCTCTCATTTGATCAGTTATTTTATTTGACTGCTATCTGCAAAGTCTATGTTTAACATTATTTTTCAAAAAACTGCAAATATTCTAAAATAGTGGTTTTTTCAAAATGTATTTGGTTAAAAAGAAATTACAGAGTGCCTCTGGCATGCCCAGCACAAACAGAGGTTATGGGAAGATGGGAAAAAAAGACATTCTTTAAACCTATGATTATTAACTTTAGAAATTCAGTCAAAAATATTCTTAGTAGTCTCTCACATGAACACATGTACTTCATTTGATTCTATTTCCACCTGATCAAAATTTAGGCTAGTTATAAAACACAAACTATGTTTGATGTATCAAATTAACATCAAATCTACCACAATTATAACTGGAACACATTTTATTCCATGACCCTTTTGTAATCACACACACTCTAATATATTTCCTGAGCCTCATTTAAGTTTGTACTGAAAAACACACTTCCTAAATAGAAGTATCATAAATAAATAAATAAATAAATAAATAAATAAATAAATAAAAGCTTACAAGAAGGGAGAAAATTTTTGTACTCCAATGACCTGTGCAGAAATGATGACCTGAAGGGAAAATGCAAAACTAAAAGTAGTGAAATAAGGCCTCCCTGGTAGTGCAAGGGGTTAAGCACAGCACTGTGAAGCTACCTGCTGCCTCGGCAGCTTGAGTTCAATCCCTGGCCAGGGAGTTACCCACACGGCGCAGCACACCTCTCCTGTCTTGCCTGCTGCTCCCCTCAGCAGTGTATTTTAGTCATCTGCCTGTTCTGTTCCCCACTCTGTCTCTGGTGAATCCTCTCACCCCCGCACCTCTGGCCTGTACCCCAGCTCTTGTATGCATAAATAAATAAATCTTAAAAAAAAAAAAAGTAGTGAAACTTTTAAATGCTTTAAGAGGAAATTTCTTTAATTAATAGCTTTGTGATTTATTTGCATCATAATATACACAAGTTGTTATCCCTAAGCAGGGTAAAAACTGATTATTTTACCTACCAAAGAATAGTATAGTTTGAATGTTAGAAATCTAAATTATTAATTTTTAAGAAAGCATATACAACAATAAGGGCATACTCCCCCTTTAATTTAGGGAAGATTGTCAGTTTCATGCTCTAACAATAACCACCTATAATTTATCTTATTCACTGACTACAAATGGGCTTTTCTAATGTACTTGAAAATAAACTTAAACAAACATCACCCTTCAAATTTTATTTGCAAATCATCAATTTGCTTAGCAAGCTTCTCTCCATTGATAGAAATGTAATACTCAACAATCTTACATTTAATTATTTGATCTCAAAACTAGATCAAATAATAGCCATTGAAGACTTTCTCCCATGTAAATATAGCTACTAAGTATGAGCATTAAATACATCGATTAACTACGTAGTTTGGTGATCATTGCTAACGTAATTTCCATTCTTAGAAATTATCAGTTGCTATATCTCAAACAACTGCCTATGAATTTCTTAATCTAAAAACAACACCTTGTCTACATAAACTATATAAACAACAAATTACATTACTATTCCCACTAAACATAAGAGGTTAATAATGTATTTAGTATATGCACTCATTAAAAAAAAAAAAAACCTGCCTTGACTTTTTAAAATAAGCTTCCTCTGGATCTCTTTAGTTGGCAATCAACTCACTGACTCACAGAAAATAATGAAAAATGTTCCCTAATCAAGAATTACATTCTTGCCTCCTTCGTAGTTAAATACCAATATACAAGTTAATTCAGTGAAAGAACTATTATACTAAAGTAAGTTGATGAGAAAAATTAACGGCTTTCAAAATTCAGTTTCTGCTAAGGAAAAGTAGTGAAAATTGCTAGACTTCAAGTCAAAAGGCCTGCATTCAACTCCTGATTCTACCTCCTACCAGTTATACAATCAACAGCATGTGATCCATGTGGGACTCGTTTCTCAGATGAAAAACCTTGTTCACAGACTTCAAAAAAGTTATACCTCACAACGTTTTGGGTACCTTACATTTTTTAAATGTAAGTGGCACACACAATAAAATTACTCAAGTATGTAGTACATGCGAACCCAAAAATTGTCTGTTCTTAGATCTGACCACTGGAATTTTTCTTCCCTTAAGTTATTTAAAATTCACATAAAATTGGATTACATGAGAAACACTGTAGAGACTAGTGCCAAAAAATATGGAAAAACATCACATCTTCCTCAAATAAAACCTTTCTGATACAATAAAGAACTACATCAGATGAAGGATGGTTTCAGTATTAACCAAACCCAGCACATTCAGTTTCAGGTAAGCAGATACATCATCTTTTTTCAAAAAACTCTTTACCATGGCTTAAGATAGCTTTTCTCACAAATGCAGAACAGGAACGTTATATAAAATAGTTTGTCCCTAAACCACAAAGTAGTTTGCTCTAAGATTAGAGCAAGCCTACCTGTAAGGGTAGAGCCCAAAGTAGCTTGAGGTAATGTATATTAAGTATCAAGGGAGATTCCACAGTTTGATTAATATATATAGATCTTCTCCAAGTACACACTTCAGCATGGAACGAGTGCATCTATATGCAAGTCCAGCAATCTGAAAACTGACCTGCAATCAATCCTGCTTCAAAATCAGTTAATAACTGCCCCTGTACAACATAACCTACAACCGATCAATATGAACTTACCTAACAGCCACAGGCCAGGAGTTTCAAAAAAGAGCTGAACCTTTAGAAGCAGCAAATAGCAAACTACCCCAAATTACAGTCTCAGTTATCTTCATTGAACTTCAGAGCAAATCACTGTCTTAAAACTCAACGGTAACCAAGTTTCCCTCAAAACCTTAAAGGACATTCAATCTTAGACTCCAGCCCAAGCTCCAATGTTGCAGTAAATAACCTCCAGCCATTTAATTCACATCACCCATTTCTTAAGTGAAGTAAAGGGTAGAGATTATTTCAAGACTAAATACTTCTGGAAAAATTAGATTATCAAAATGAAAGATGGCCAGCTTTCCTTTGCACAAATCTAGTAAAATTATACATGTAAAAGTGCTGAAGAACAATGCTTGGAACATTTTGAACATGTAGCCTCGTAAATCAACTAGGAAAACATATTTACAAATCAGATCAACAAACTGAATATTTAAAAACTCAAATCTTATTATCCAGGAAGTCAAATTCTTAGACTGAAGATATTAGTTTAGCATACCAGATAAATCAGTAGGAGAAATATTACATTTAAGATCCCTTGGCTGTTAAGTTTTATATTAATATTTTAGTCTAAAATAATCTTTTCTTTATCCTTTCATAATTTTAAAAATGATTCCTTTCTTCAAGAAAAGTTCTTGGTTACTAGAATCACAAATTCTTCACATAAATCTATCTTTTTGGCTGCTTCTAGCTTTAATCAAGTCTTAATATCCAGGTATAGACACAATGTCAGAAATCCTACATTTACCTTTGAAAACTGTCTGGACCCCACCAGAATTGTTTTGGCCAGCTATTATACAACTTGCAAATGGAGAGAACATCAAAGTATAAATTATCCTGAGTCCTAGGAAACACCATATTTAGTCACCAAAGAGCAGGATGTGTGGCAAGAAGTCATGATTTGAGGGCCTCCCTGGTGACACAAGGGGTTAAGTTTCAGCACTACGAAGCAATCCACAGCCACTGCAGCACAAGTTTGATTCCTGGCCAGGAGCTAACACACAAGGCACAACAGACCTCTCCTGTCTCACCCACTGCTCCCCTCAGCAGAGTATTTCAGTCAGTCCGCCTGTTCTGCTTCCCACTCTGTCTCTGGTGAATCCTCTAGCCTACACCCCAGCTCCTCTGGCCTATATCCCAGTGCTTGTATGCAAAATAAATTTGAGAAAGCAGCCCCAAATTCTCTATTCCCTGGCTGGATAATTTTAGAAAAACCACATGATTTCTATTAGCCCCATGGTTTTCATCTGTAGAATGGGAATAATGCCATTTTCTTCACTTGATTGTTTGGAAAATCAATGAGAAAACACACAGGAAAGCACTTTATAGGCGAAAATGTGTAATACAAACCTATCATATAGGTCACAGTGTTTTTCTGTCATTGCATGAGCATTAAGTTTCTTAACACACCAGCTAAGTTATATTCTAAATACATACTTCTGATTTCAAAGTAACACACTATTATTAGTAAACACTATACAATATTCAAAAATGCTTTAAAGAATACACTTGCCTTGGATTGCGTTCTCTTCCCACTTCTCACACTAAATTTTTCCTTCATTTCTTCTAAAATTATCTTCAGTTTCTTTTCTTCAGGTGTCCCTAAGTATTTTTGGTTCACATGAAGATAGCAATGCCATTTGGCTGATTCAAAGCCCCAGTGGCAAGTCCTCTTGTCAGGTGATCTGTGAGAATGCATCACAAATGTCTGCGGCGCAAACATTCCACAGCACTCCAGACACTGAATACATGGAGCATCAGGTTGAACATAAAACTGGGGTGCAAACAGACCCTGACACTTGCCCAAGCATTCATGTTCCACTTCAAAGGCACTGCCAGTTTCCTTTAACTGGGCCAATGAGTTTTTAGCAGGAAGTATGCTACCATTTTGCGGGAAAGTGCGTGGCCGCAATAAAGCATTACAAAGTCTTTGTGCATCAGTTAACGTGATCAGTCCACAGGATGGGGCATTGAATGGAAGGATTCCCAGGACCTTTAAAATATGAAGTTGATCTGAAGTACACCTTGAACAGTAGATGTACAATTCGTCACACACTGTATTTATTTGCTGAAGTGAAAATTCTCGGAGAACAGAATTTAAGACTTGGGGCAAACAGAGTCTCTTTTCTCCTCCAACCTGAAAACAAGAAATAGACTCCCCTTCCAATACAGTCTGGGTGAGCTCTGTGGAACTATCAGAAGGGATGAGCAGTGGGCCAGGAAGAACCTGAGGAGATGGAAGAGGCAGAAATACAGTAGGTGACATGCTTTCTTGGGAATACCGAGCTGAAAATGCTGCCGGTCCACCCAGAGAGCTCTGACTACTTAAGTGGAATTGTGCCAAAGTATGTTTCAAACTGGGATTTAAATGTAAAGGTTCAGGCACCGAGGCACAGGTTCGTTTGACATGTTCTCCATCAGTTTCCATTGGCACTTCTCCATAGTCATCCAAGTGTTCCTTCTTTACTGTTGGCATCTTGTTTATCATCATTTTTCCATTGACATGAATGTCTGTCATCATTTTCTTCGCTGGAGGGCCACCATCATCTTCCATCCCATCCAGTTTTTTATGTGAGCCCTGAACCAACGAAAAACTTGTCTGTAGATTTTCCATTGCTAATAAGTATTGTGTTAATAAGTCAGTCTGAGACTTGCATTGTTACTTAGTTGCTCTGAGAAAAGTAATATATACCAATACTTATGGTAACTTACTCTCTAGAAAATTTAAATTTCCAAAGAGTGCTCTATTCAGATATTGCAACTTTGTTTTGGTTCTGTTTATACTGTGGTATAATTTTGTTGCAAGTGCTGTAAAACGTCTCCTTTTGTCTCTAATAATAAAGAATATAATTTTAAGATGCACACCTCTGTAGAATTCTACTTTTAATCCTGATAGATGTATTAAAATAGTTACCAACTGTCTCAATTCCAGATGTCCAGGTTCAAGGCAATGGTTTTGTTGTGAGCAAAACTTGCAAATAAGTAATTTATGCAATTACTTGTGGCACAAAACCTAGACACAAACATAAGTCAAAATGCTGCACCCAAATTTAATTTTTGGCACCAAGGACACCAAAAGAGGGGGAGAAAGTGTCTTCTCTAAAAATGATGATCTGATGGTCTGTGTTGACAAACTGAAGACTTATAAACAAATCTTCACTACAGTAAGAGCCTCTGACTTCACTTGAACTTCCACAATTAAAAAATGATAAAGAAAAATTGCCCAGTTATCTTCAAGGATTACTGTTCATTCTTCTTTTAATTAATCTGGAAAAGAAAGGGGGTGGGGGAGAAAGTTACATTTGAATTTGCTCCAGAGGCCAAAGGGTCACTTTGAAACCAGTTTCTTAATCTTAAACTGAGTTCACTTTACCAAAGGTGACACTAGAATTATTTCTTTAAATCTAACACCAGTTCACTAGAAGAACCTTCATTTAAATAGGAAAACAATTTGGAGAATAGGGAAAGGAAGCAATACTATCCCTCAAAAGGAAAAGGCTACTCCAACTGAGTATAGGAAGAACCTTAAACAGATCATCTCACCCAAACTCAGAACCAGAGGCTTAGGCCATTTTAGCTGAATTCATTACTTCATCTACTTTGAAAAAAAAAAAACACGTTTCATCCAAAAAAAAAAAAAAAAAACCAGACAGACATTAACACAGCTACCATATGTAACTAAGTTACAACCTTAAGTGCATTAATTCATCTAGTTTTCTGGAATGAATGTAGACAAATACTAACTTTCCCTTTAAAGGGTTAGCGAAATTGCTTAATAGATGCCAAAAGCTCTAGACTCCACGCCTGGAAATCTCCATCCTTGAACAAGACTAATCCGGGACAAAAAGCACAAGGCAGACAGCCCTCACAAAGAATGCAAATGGAGGAAAAGGGAAAAAGAAAAGATTCTTCCACTTCCTTCTTGAGAGAAAATCCAAAAGAAATGCAATAAAGCCAAAATGTTGCCTCCCAAACTCCCAACAATTTACCTTAAAACAGACCCAAAAGGGTTAAGGACCACGGCCACCAGCCAAAGTATTGACTTTCGCCTACCACAGGAACCCCTCAGCCCACGCAAGCCAAGGAAGAGGGCAGGAGGCAAGACCTAGAATGGGGGAGCCCCCCCACAACTCTGAAATCCTCCGCCCACGCAAAGGCATCCACCCATCCCCAACCCGAGCGGGCGGGCGGACGAGCGGGAGGGAGGGAGTGAAAGACAAGGGATCCGGGACGCCCGGGCGTGCGGGGCGCTAGTGGCAGCTAGAGGAAGAGAAGCCGCCCCCCAAGTCCCACCCGAGCTTCGGGACTACCCCTACAGTCCTCCCCACACGGCCCCACCGCCGAGGCCGCGGGGAAGACTGTGGAAATCCCCCGCGCACCCGCTCCCCGGGAAGTTCTCGGGTGTTACCCCGGCACCCCTAAGGCTGCACCTCCCCCCGCCTTCCCGGGCCTGAAGGGACAGAGGTCCGCGGGAGGGGGGGGCGCCCAGTCAGGGCGCCGGGTCGAGCCCCAGGGCATCCCCGAGGAGCGCAGACGGGGGAGGGGGACGGCGGCCGGCGTCTCGGGCTCCCGGGTCCCCGCGGCTCCGGTCAAGTGCAGCGCCCGTCCCCTCCCCGCCCGGCGCCGGCGCGGCGCGCTCCGCCGCGGGACCCCCGCCCTGCGCACCCCCGGCTCCGGCCCCGCACGGGACCCGCGCATCCGGACCCCCGACTCCGGCCTCCGCGCCCGGGAAGCTCGACCAGCTTTGTTAACTCCCCACGGCCCCGGCGCCGCCGCCGGGCTCCCCGGGGCGCGCGCCCCCGGCCGCCCGCCGCGCCCGCCGCGCCCCCACCCCCGCGAGCCCGGGCCGCACCTGCGCCCGCCGCCGCCGCGCGCTCGCCCGCTCCCTTCGGCTGTGCCGGCGCCGCCGCGAGCCCCACACACATCGCTACACACAGCCCTCTGACGTCACCGGGCCCTCGGCCCGCCCACGTCACTGCGGAGACACACGGCTTCCCGCAGACGCCGCCGCCGTCTCCGGCCGCCCGGGGGAGGGCGAGGGCGGCGGGGGGGAGGGGAGGGCGCGGAGCCAGCGGCGGCGCCGCGCGCGCGGGCCCGCCGGCCTCGCCGCCGCCTCCGCCTCCGCCTCGCGGCTCCAGCCCCGCGGGGACGCGCGCGCCGTCTGGCCTATTGTAGCTCCCCGGGGCTCGCCCCGCGCGCCGGCGTCTGGCGCGCGCGCCCCTCCCCCCAGGCGCGCGCCCGGCGCTCCCGGCCCCGCGCGCCGTCTGGGCGGCTGGCGCGCGGCGCTGTCTGCGGTGCACCCAGCGCAGACAGGATGTTCCCTCCCCGCCCTCCCCCCGCCGCCCGCCCTCCTTCCTTCCTCGAGTCGCCCAGCCGGCTGTCTGGGGCCGCCGCCGCCCCGCCCCGCCCCGCCCCGCCCGCTGCTCTGTGGTGACGGGCCAGACCTGGGGCGCCCTGGCCGCCCGGCCGCCGCGCGGCGGGGAGGGGGCTGGGCGGCCGCGCGGTGCACTGTGCGCGACCCCGGCAGCCGGCGGGCGGAGGCCGGGCCCGCCCGGCGAGCGCCGCCGCCCGAGGTCAGGCGCGGGCCGCCCTCCCCCCGGGCCGCAGCTGGGCCGCCCCGCCCCGCCCCGGAGGCAGCCGGGTGGCGGCCTCCCCGCCGCGTAGCCCCCCCCCCCACGGCGGGCTCGGCGCTCCGGGGCTGCCCCCCGCCCCCCTGGGGCCTCCCGCCCGAGGGCCGCCCTGCCAGCTGCCGGGCTGCGCCCGCCCCGCCCCGCCGGCCGCGGCCTCCCCCTCGCCGAGGCGGCCTCCGCCCAGACGCCTTCCCCTGGCTGACCTCCGGCCGCCATCGGGCCAGCGCGGGGAGCCGGCCCAGCTCCTGCAGCGCCGAGAGAAAACATTGCCCGCCCCTCCCAGCCGGCCTCCCGCCTCGCCCGCCTGAAACTACACGTTTCTACAGTGTTCGCTGAAGATTTTTTGGTTTTTATTGTGGGGAAGAACACGGATGACAACGAGGAAAGACACGACCTGGGGGGCTCCGGCCGCCCCCGCAGGGCCCAGCAGAGCGGTCTTTCTGGCCAGTGTCCCCGGGATAGCCAATTAGCATATTGAACGCCACCCAGCTGCTCCCTCAAATTTCGAAACACCAAGAAATCCCCTTTTCTTCACCCCACCGCAAGATCAGGAACTGAAATAGTCGGCCCGCCGAGTCGCAGTACACAGAATTCAGAAAACCGAGCTTCGTCCTCTCTTTTTTTTCCATCTTGCCGGTTTTCGTCCTGTGTCTCCTGGTTTTGCTGCTTCGAGGTCGCTCACATGGGGTCCGCGTTTGCAGCTGGCCGACTGGGGATACTCTTGTGCTTGTAGATTTTTCACCTCTTTTCCTCCCAGTGGGCCTACCAAGGGCTCTCATGCCTCTCATTTCCCCCCCAGCAACTCCCACGTTCCCTTCCCTACGCCCCCACTGCCCCGCTCCGCTCCCGGGTCGTGCCCCTCTCCCACCCCCCACCTTCTCCTCCTCCTTGACTACCTCCTTTCCAGAACATGAATAATTCCGCAGCACTTCCCATCTGTTATTGCCATAGAGACAGAAGCTCGGCAAAGATAATGATGTTCTGTGCAGAGCCAGTGGGGGGAGAACAGCATCTGCGAGTCTGGGGGATAGATTTTCTAACCGCAAAAATATTCAGAAGGCCTGGCTTAAGATATGGTTGGAGAACTGGACAGTCCTGACACTTGGCATCCGGTCAACTTGTGGCACCTGGCTCTTGTATCTAGAAAGAAGATACAGTTTTTAGAAACCAAAATGACAGATTTTTTAAAGTGATTCCCAGCTGCAATTCATGAAAAATATTTTGTGCTCCTTTTATCAACCATAAAAATAGTACTAGCATGATCAAAGGCCTGAGAAGCAAAATTAATCGCACAGTAAATAAGACTTCTCAGATATCAAACACATTACATTATCCCTCTTCCCTGTATCCCTCTTCCTTTTGATTTACTTTCCCCAGGAAATTGTGTTTTGGGGATAGGGTCTTTTGTGTCTCTTGTGATTTTATGTACAATACTTTCAGACAGTGACAGGCAAATGTGGCTAGTACCAATCAAGCTTTAAGGGCATTTTTTTCTTATTCATCAAAGTACAAAATGTACCAAATTAAAATTCACTTTGCTATTGAATTTCCAAGGTCTTGGCCTGAAAGGTACAAGTTCGAAGGAGTGCAAGTGAAACTAGACAGCATACATTTACATCTGGTGCAGGTGAGGAGACTCACACATACCACATTTTTGCAGATCTACTTAATGATTTTCAGAAATTATCAGAATGGGTTGTATGAAATTTTATTTTTTTTTTAACATTTATTTATTTATTTGTTTGTTTGTTTGTTTGTTTATACAAGCACTGGGTACAGTCAGAAGCGCGGGAGGGTGAGAGAATTCACCAGAGCCAGAGCAGGGAGCAGAGCAGGCAGAAGAACCGAAGTACACTGCAGCAGAGGTCTGCGAGCCATGTGGAACCCTCACCCGGTGCCGGGGGAGCAGCCGGGGATCAAACCGGCGCTGCAGAGGCTGCAGGCAGCTTCACAACCAGCGCTCAACCGCTGCGCCACCGGGGAGGCCCGGTTGTATGAAATTTTAAAATACTGAAACAATTTTTTGTCCCAGAAACATAATTAAATGGACACAGAATACAGAATTTAGGGAAAAAGTACTATGAACATTATAATTCCCATATACTGATGGTCTTCACCAGTACTGAAAGTATTATTTAGTAAATAGCTATTAGATGGTTTTCACATGGCCTCATACCTCACCTTCTTAGCTGCCTGCAGAAACTGAGCAAGGCACTGTGAGAGTGTTTGCCTGTGTGCAAAAAATTGGGGGCCCAAGGGGTGAGGAGACAGGAAGGTGAGGAGTATTCTATCCATTGTCACCATTGTCTCATCTTCCATTAAGCAATACAGACAAAAAATCCAAACTAACTGGTACTAGGTAATCTAGAATTTCTTCTTCAATAGATCTGACCAGCTGGTTACACACACACACACGCACACACACACACAAGAATTTAGAGGTTATGACTTCGAGGACCAGTTTTGCCCTGTGGCCTGGTAAGTGGTTTAGGGCAAATCCTTTCCTCTTTCTCCATTTACTGATCTATTGATGATGGCCTACTAATATCAACAAGAATTTAAAAATGAAAAGGTTAGAGTAAAGCGATTTCGATGTGAATTTTTATTTTTATGAAGGAGTGGGTGGAAAAGTTATATGTTAATCCATAGAGCATGCAAACACTCTCTTGTATTTTCAGTTACACCTCCTGCTCTTTTCCAAGCAAGATAACCCAGTTGTAGTCTGGTGTTTCTCGTGCCTCATCTTCACCCTTGTTTGATTTTGAACAAAAAAATCTTGTTTGAAAATGATTTTTAGCTGCAAGCTAAAATGCTACAACTTCCTTCAATTTCACGAAAGACTCTCAACCATTTCTTTTTCATCTTTTTTTTCTATAGCTTTTCATTTATTTCTACTTGTCAGAATTATGAAGATGAGGCCCTTTAACTCCTTCACAGCTCTTTAATATCTTTCCTACCTCTCCTCTTTCCTGTTCAGTTTACTCAGCATTTTTGTTTAATGGTACTGTCCCTGCCTGTACAAAGTCCTTTCCCTTCATTGACTAGACTTTTGTTACAAAGTTCCTTCCCTTCATTGACTAGACTTTCTCCAGGGACGCCTTTTTCCTCTTAGCTGCCAAATCAATACTGGATCTACAAGGTCCCAACTCCCATTTTTCATGCCTTAAATAAGATAAAAACCAGATGCTTAAAAACTATTAACCTCCTCTTCCTGTGTCACATAGTCCTTTCTCCCCCCTAGGTTTTAACTTGGGCTCTGTGAAAATGGAGGGAAAGTAAGAGAAAGAAAACAGAAAGGAATAGCCAGGAAGAGCAAAATAAAAAAAAATCATATTAGAAATATTTGAATTCCCAAAGTTTAAATGGCAACAAACTCTAAAATCGGTGTAACAGACACATTGAGTGCATTTTATTGTCAACTCTAGGAATTTTATGAGTGTTTAGAAAATCTGGCAAAATTTGCCTTATTGCAAATCAGAAGCTTTTTCTGTTTTCGAAAAAGAAAAGGGGAGGAGTCATCCCTAGCCCTATGATGCTGCCAAGCTATGATTCCCAACCTGCAAGTTGAGCAGAATGGTCTAATATGTAATATTGGACACTACGTAGCTCAAAATA